TATATATATATATATATGTATTTACATACGTAAAAGTAATAATTCAAATCTGGGATGAATGTACTTTTAATTTGAAATATTTTATATATATTTTTAAATCTCTCATGAAAATAAATCATATATCGATAATAAAAATTGTGTTAATATTATAATAATCATACACGGAAGAAAACTGATTGTTAACAACAATAAAAATCTCTAAAAGTGAACATTTCGACAAATATTATTTATAATAAATTAAACTTTCATACATATACATATAATCTGTGGGATATACAGGGTACGTGTCTGTTTCCCATATTTCATATATATTTAGTCAAATTCACATTTACATATTTATTACAAACACAGAGATTTGAACATTCTCGTATAATATATATATATATATATATCCAGTCATTTCGTACGTAAACTCAAAACGTAAACGCTCGTACTTGCGTGTAAACGTTAAAGAGAGAGAGAGAGAGAGAGAGAGAGAGAGATAAAAAGATGGATAGATAGAGAATGGAAGAGAGGAAAGAAGAGAAGGGGGAAGCCAACGCAGGTGTGTCCTGTCGTTGAGATACCCGCAAAGCTCGACGGTACACAAAAGTCGACCTATTTTCTCTCCTTCTCTTCCCAAACATTCTGCACCTCTCTCTTCTTCTCTCTCTTTCTCTCATTCATCCTCTTTCTCTTTCCTGCTTACATTCACTAACTCACTCACTCACTCACTCACTCACTCACTCACTCGCTCATTCTTCTCTCTCTTTTTCCGCTTCTCACATCCCTTCCCAGTTCCTCTCTCCACCCACTCCCCCTCGAAACCTTTCTTTCTCTTTTTCTCTTTTTCTCTCCGTTTTATTTTTTTTTCGTCGCTCGTTCGACCACCCACCTCCGCAGGAGTCGTCACACTTGTTGCACTCGAAGAAGGGTGGGTAGGAAGGAGGAAGGGAGGGAGGGAGGGTTTGGGAAATGCGAGAACACATAAGACAACATATATAAACGAGAATACATGACGAGAGAGAGAGAGAGAGAGAGAGAGAGAGTGAGAGAGAGAGAGTAAGAGAGAAAGAGAAAGGAATAATAACATGCTTGTTGCGTTCAACCATTAAATGTTTCTTATACGATCTAATCAAATTTGACAAGATATTACATGTATGTGTAATGCATATATGTGTAATTTATAGAACCATGAAGAGAGTAAACATAAGGCACGCGCTTTAGTTAATTTCTAGTTTCGATGAGATATATACGTAAGATCAGAAATTTATCTCTAAACGAACATAATCTATTATTATTGTTATTATTATTATTACGTAAAACGAATTGATATCTCGTATAAAAATATGAATGAATAATAAAAATCATATTTGTCGAAAGTATTATGAAACGATGTATGAAATAATCTTAATACTTGGACCTTGAAGATATTTTGGTAAAAAAGAAACGAAACAAAAACAAAATATATCATAAAAAAACAATACCATCATCCCATGTATCAAAGCTTAAGAATAAACATCTTGGAAAAATTAAGTAGAAGAAGTATAATTAATTACAGAAGAATTGAATATGATTCATAGATAATCAGGTATAAATAAATGCTTAACACTCTAGCTCGAGGGCTTATATATATATATATATATATGGTATGTATATTCGAAAGGATTAAATACACCTATTGGCTTCTGATGCTGCTACTGCTTGCTGCTGCTGCTGCTACTGATGGTGGTGTTGTTGCTGGTGGTGTGCCGGTCGTTACACATCGACTATCAATGAGAATCTCTGTAAGCTTGGAATACGATGGGAATACGATGGAAATTGGAGTGGGAGAAGTTCGAATAGTATACCTACATATATATATATAGGTATACATACATACGTACGTTGTTTATACGCGAAACGCATACGCGAGAGGGACTACCCCACCTGTTCTCGTTCCATTCTCTCTCTCTCTCTCTCTTTCTGTATGTGTGTTTGTGTGTCCGTATATGTATATATGTCTCTCTTTATCTCATGCAGGCTGTTTGTCGAGCAAATCGAGCAGCACGAGGTGCGCAAGAGAGCACGTGCTGCCGGCACATCACGATCCTCTTCCCAGGAATGTGGTCTGTAAACACACACGGGTTAAGGGACTTCGCGAGGAGGCGCCGAGCTCGTAAATCACTCACCGATGGTAATCTGCTTTCTCCGTGTGAGAGAGAAGCAAACGGGGCACGCTTTGCAAACCTTCGCTTTCGGCGTGAGATACCCTTGAAACAAAATATCTTACCTTTATTTTTACTTTCTAACATGTGAATCTTATTATAGTCTCATTTTATGCTTCATAGAATGGGATAGAGAGAGAAAATGGGTGTATATACTTTCTATTATATGTAGAACAAACATGTTTGAATCATTAATATCAGTGTATACTAATTATATTACTTATGATATTTTTAATTACGCAAAACTTTTCTTTTTCAATTGCGATAGCATGCATGACATTTTTATACTACTAATTAAAACATTAATATTACTATTGTAATAATAATAATCTTTACTATCAAATAATAATCTTGTATTTTATGATAAACGAAATCGGTCAAAAATTCGTCATATATATTTAAAAAGAAAAAATAAGAAAAAAAATGAAAGAGTTCATTCAGTTGAGGCTTAAAACTTTTCAACCTTCTATAATATGTAATCCCATTTAAATAATTAATTTAATTAATAAACACAATTAACAAACTGACAAACAAATTAAAAAGATCACATGCAACATACATACGCTTGTCTATTATAATCTGACGTAAGCAAGAAGATTACTCGAAATATTTCACAAACTAACTAACGACAGAGAAAGACAATGTGATTAAGTGAATGCAAGAGAGAGAGAGAGAGAGAGAGAGAAAGTCTGTCAGATGCGGGAGAGAAGTGGAACGATGCGGAAACGTTATGATAAGCTCGCGTTGAACTTGACCCACTCGACGAAGCGGTTCCTACACAAGCAACCACTACAATGATATGAAGTTACGGGCGGCTCGTGCAAAGCCGTAACACGATAACAGCTGTTGCATACCTCTCGATTTGCTGGACAGCAAAAGTTTCGACGATCGCGTGTCCGACCGTTGGGTTGCACGAACGGGAGGAACCTCACGCACACATCTATCTAAGTACGTTCTCTCTCTCTCTCGCGCGTTTCCCTTTCTCTCATTTTTTTCCCCAACGTAGGATATATATATATATATATATATATGTAACTATATACGTCAACGTGAACGTTTTACGAGCAGCGTACGTAGCAGTAACAGGAACACCATCCGATGGAGCAACATCGATCATTCAACCTCTCTTTCTCTCTTTCTTTCTCTGTTTCATCGTTCGTTTGATTTATATTTTCTTCACTTTGGATTTCCTTCCGTTTATACGAAATTGCAAATCATTCGAAAGCGATAAAGTATTGGAAACGTTAATACTGAGCAACCGAGCGTATCTTAAAAGTCGATACTCATATGATTTATTTACACATATATAAGTCCTATCGTAAGTACGTGTACTGAGTGTCTGAGACTTTTTACGATCAAACAATATCGATATATTATTATGTGTACGAAAAGAACAAAAATAATCATAATGATAATATATAATTAATATAATATATAATTGGTCATTACAAATGAATGATGCCTAGAAGAATGAGATATGTTAGATTTCATCAAATTTAATTATTATAATTGTATTCAATTTTGCATTTTAACAGTTAATAAATTATTTTCTCATTATAAGACAATATTATTCTTATTTAAAAGTAAAAATAAATTGATTATTTTTTTATTTCCTAATGTAAAAGTAATAAATCATTATTAAATGTTCTTTCAATTAATTTAATGAGATATAAACATGCGTCCTTTTACTAGACACCCGTTTAAATATATCATTCGAGATTTCGATGTATAAAATAGCCGTTCTACTGTGAATCATCAAAGATCGGATTATTCGACGGTGAGTCACGTGAAGCTATACCGAATGGAGGATTCAGTAAGAAGATCGAGATCTTGGAGTAAGCAAAAAGGTAAAAGTGAAACCAGTGAATCGAAGGATCTGCCGATACGATAGAGAGGGCAATAACCTTTTGAAGCAAGACGCCGGCTAGTCACGTGTGCGAAAGAAACACAGAGAAAGAGAGACAGAAAGAGAGAGAGAGAGGGAGGAAAGAGACTGCGATATCTCAATAAGACATCGATCGCTCATTAGTAACACAAGAACGGTTCCTCGTTCTCCTTTTACTGGTACACGCATACACATACGAGAGTTAGAAAGAAAGAGAGAGAGAGAGAGAGAGAGAAAGAGAGAAATACTCGTGTTAACCTTCTTTATCGTACACACGATGCTCCATCCGTTATATCCGTCACCCTTCTCTTCTTCTCTCTCTCTCTCTTTCACCCAACTCACTCACTCACTTCACGTCGTACATACATACATACATGTACACGTATATATCAACGTACTCTCGTAAACTTGACCCAGTGAAAAACGGAACGGCGGATCGAACGAGTAGTTTCACCTCTCTTTCTCTTTTTCTCTCTTTCGCTCTTTCTCTCTTTCACGAGTTACGTCTGGCTTGCATCCGTTCTTTTTCGTTCGTGCCGTCGAGCAGGAGCACGTGCGTCCACGCATGCACGCGACTACCCTGCGAGATTAATGCGCTCACTCGAGAGTCGCGAGAGGTCCGTTTAGAGTTTATCTCGATAACGCCAGGAAATAGAATAGACTACGGTGGATTTATTTCGACGCCAAGGTGAAATCAATCTTTCCATTGCGTGCAAACAAGACGGAAAGTTTTTGAGAGAAAGAGAGAGAGAGAGAAGTCTTTTCTCGCATCGTAAACCTTATTTTCGATTTATTTATCTAGAATCAAACGAGTCCTCACACGTATTCTATACTAATCAACAGTTCGATTACGCCTACTACTACATTTGCATTTGTATTACGCATAGTTAGGTATATATATAATATTATAAATTTACTCAATTTTATTAACATTTTTTTATTTCCAACACGTGTTTTATATGATTTGTCTGTTATCAAAATTCATTGGATTCTTCAAAGTCGTAGTCGTATTAAAACACTTTAAAGACTTTTAGCATTGTTACAAATATTAGGTCTTTTAGTAAACCGATGACGTCTCTCAGGTAAATTGTTTACCTCTTTTGCGATAAGAAATGAACAGTTTCAATTGACGTGTACTCAAACTTTCTGCCGATAAAATATATGTTTCTAGTAAACAAAGAAGAAATGAAAGAGGTGGTAGTGATGATAATGGTGGTGTAGGTAAAAAAAGAAGAAAGGGGAAGTTTAAATCGACGTTTGAAAGTTCGTAAGCTGGTTGCAGTGAGTTCCTTCCTACCTACCTACCTACCTACCTACCTACCTACCTGTTATCTCGGTGAAACATCGATCGGTGGTACTTGGGAATGGAGCAGGAGAAGAGGCTCAGTTACTTCCATCTCTCTCTCTTTCTCTCTTCCGTGTCCTACGCCTCCTTCAAAGTAGAGAGAATCTTCTCGCTCCCTCTCATTCCCTTTCATTCCCTTTCCTTCCTCTTTCTCCTTCGGTCGAGTTGAACTTGACCCAGTGAGCAGAGAACCGTAGCAAAAGGGAACACGCCTGAAATCTTTGAGGCTTACTCTCTCACACTTAATTGCCACTGACCCTCTTCTCTCTTTCTCTCTCTCTCTCTCTCTCTCTCTCTCTTCACTTACTCTTGAAGTATTTCTCGTCCGCCTGGTCTCTTCCTTTGAAACAAGTATCTGGACATCGAGACGCTTACGTCAAGAGTCTCTCTAATGAGAAGTCCTCCTTCCCTTTTTTGCGGATACAAAGTCTTTGACAAATTGCTATTAGATGCACTTTCTCCGTTTTAGCGTCAACGATAATTTAACTTTGTTGTTGAGCATCGATAAGATATTCTCCATTTATCTCTCATTCCTTCCTACTTTTTTTTCTTCCTTTTTTTCTTTCTTTCCTTTCCTTTTTTCTTATTACGAATTCGTAAAACGTTTCTCTTTCGTCTGGAGTCCTATATAGAATTTTCTTTTCATTTATTTTTCTCGTAGTACTCTCATTTACCTTATTTTTTCTCTCTCTCTCTCTCTTTTTTATTCTGTTTTTAATCTATCTCTTTCTGGTACGAGCTGGCAAGGCAAGCGCATCGTTTGCAACGATAAACAAAGGAGAGAACACAACAGCCTGAGGGATTCCGTGCGCGCCTGACCGGCTGGAATGGAAAGAGAGAGAAGAGTGAGGGTGTTAATGTGCTAGTGAGAGAAAGGAACGGGGGTGTTAGTGGAAACGGGTCGAGAAGAGCTCATGGATATCCGTGCTTCTTGCTGGTAGTAGTCCTATTACTTGGCCAAAGAGAGTGAGAGAGAATGAGAAGTGGAGATGGAAGTAGAGGTATAACGCGATTGCGGTGGCGAGACCAACACACACACATACATATACACTCACACACACAAAGAGCATGCACAAAGAGAGTAGGAGAGATAGAGAGTGTGAGGAAGAGGGAAAACGGAGGCACGTCAATGGGCGAATAGGAGAGGCCACGTGTGAATGAAGGAAGGGTAGGTAGATAGGAGCGGGGATGAATGAGTGCATCTTAGGAACGGTACCAGTCAGCTGATATTACATATACCTTAACTTTTTTAACTTTTTCAAATATTCCACGTGAAAGTACTTCGAATTCTGTTCCACCATTTCGATAGAATCTTCAAAAATTTTGTTTTCCTTCTAATACACGTGTTACAATACATATATGCATGTATGTATCAGAGGGGGTAGTAGAGAGACGCGAGTCTATTTTGGTTCACATCGTAATTTAAATATATCTTTTTCTAGCCTGTGGGAAAGAACGGGAACGATGGGAAAGGACTGGAAAACAATCGTGTCGATAAATCTTAGAAATGTCTTCGTAGTGATAGTTCATCGACCTCGACGTATAGGGTAGTCCTAGGAAACCGACACGAAGCATGCCTCGCGATCCGTTCCATTCAGTGCCATCCAGAACGAAAGAGAGAAAGAGAGAGGAAGAGGAAGAGGGAGAGGGAGAAGGAAGCATTATCTCCCTACGACCCTGAAATTCCCACTGTCCTCCTCCCACTTCTCACCCTCCTCGGCTCAAAGAAAGTAAGATAGAGATAGATAGATATATAGAGTGAATGAGTGAGTGAGTGAGTGAGCGAGTGAGTGAGAAAGATAGAAGAGGAGAAAGAGGCAACCCCCTACCGTTTTCCACGTCGCGCCGATGTGCCCGTTTGCTCTCCTCTACACCCGTACCTACTACCTACTTTATTGCCTCTAGGCGCCTGGCGCTTCTTCTTTATGCCGGAGTGCGAAGTGTGAATGGCTTCTGTGAACCTGACCCGACCGACAAACCACCAACACATCACCACCAACACAACCACTAACGTCGAGACTCATTACATCAGCCTCGACGGAAGCAGCAGCGCAACACGCGGACCTGCCGCGACCCATGTGTACACACAGATGAACCAACCAGAGAGAGAGATAGAAAATGTGTACGCATGCGACAAATACATACTGCAACACACAAAAAGAGAAAGAGAGATATGTACATGTAAAAGTATAAACGAGCGTGCAAAGCGAAAGCTTTCTCGTGGATTTGTTTAGTACGTAGTAGAGAGACTCGGTCGAGCTCACAACACAAGTCCCCTCTTCCAAACACGTAATACATACTTTACGGACCGCCTACCGGCGGGTAAAAGCCTCCCTCCATATAATGCACCAACGGTTGGGCGCGTGCCAATTCTTTCGAAGCATAGCCCAACAACAATAAACAAGCAAAAGAGAGAGAGAGAGAGAAAGAAAGAGACCAACACACAGTCAAAGAAGACGTCCAATCTACTCTTTCGGTCTTTCTCTCTCTCTCTCTCTCTCTCTCTCTCTCTCTCTCTCTCTCTCTCTCTCTCTCTCTATCAATGACTAGGCCTCTTTAACACTCAATCCGTCACGTTCGATTAACGATCCCCTAAATCCTCCGACCGTTTCATTCTTCTCTTCTTTGGCTTTAGGATAAGAATGAAAATAAAGAAGTATTCAGCAGGTTTGGCTAAACTTGTTCGTCTACCAATGATGTATCTGTATAATCTGTGTGTTTGTTTAACCTGTATTGGAAATGGGAGTTAAAAATATTTGATAATGGTATTTTGTGGTAACAAATATACTCAGCACGTATTTGATACGATCGTGAAAAATGTGTTGAACACATAGGATAGGAAAAAAGGAGAAAGAAAGGAGACACTTGGTATTTCCGACCGGAAAGATTTTGTCAATCTTCCTCTTCCTTCTTTGTTTCCTCCTTCTTCTTCTTCTTTTTCTTCTTTTTCTTCTTTTTCTTCTTTTTCTTCTTTTTATTCTTCCTTTATTTTCAGCTGTGTGCTTTTAGCCGAGCGCTCAACCGAATCGCTCCGTGACTGAGAAACCAAGATTTCATTGAGGAACAATAGGTACATGACACCTGTAAAGGACAACCCACCGGCGGCGCCTAGACCTACATTACGACAATAATGTCGCTTACCAACGACGCTTTCAAACGACTCGACTTGCCAACAGAAGCAACAAGGATACCAAATATATAATAGTCTTCTATATAGGCATGTAAATGTGTTACATGTATACATAAAGTATACGTGCATGTGTAAGTTTCTCATGCTATGTAAAATAGAGAGAGAGAGAGAGAGCGAGATGGAAGAGGAGACTCACTGGCACGAGTCTAACAGTAGGGCAATGTCACACCTAGGCTATTATTCTCACGAGCAAATCTACGGCAGACTAATAACCTGTCACCAACTGCCACCGTGCTTGCTACTCACGGAGTAACGTCAAGCAGCAGCCTCTCCTTACGTGACTAATGCTTCTCCACTGTGTCTCGCACTTGGATCCATGTATATGTGTGTGACTTTATATGCATAAACGTGTGTATTCATGTATACTTGTGTGTGTGGGTAGGTGGGTGGATAGGACTTGGACGATATCTTCTTCTCGCTTTGTCTTCTTGGTCTTCGTGTTTCTCTCTCTTCTCTCCTCTCTCCCTTCTTTCTGCTAACTCCTTACTCACTCCTCCATTCCTCCTTGTTCCCCACTTCACTTCGTCATCCTCATCAACCATCTCTTTTACGATAGCACGATGTCGACCCAACAACTATTTATGTAAGCGTCAAGCAAGCTGGCGCGAGCAAGCGAGAAGGGGCAATTAAGTACGGCGCGTGCCGTTCCTCTGCATAGTTATTAAGCCTCCCCTTTTGGATGGTTACGAGGTTACGAGTACGTTGTTAATATACAACGAGGAGAATTATTGCTAATCGGTATGGAAATCAAAAGTAGCCATTGAATAATACTTTCCTTCTTTAATTCAACCAATCGAAACAAGATAGTGTTTTTGTCCTATTCGATTGATATGAATATGTTTGATCATAGATTTATAATTGAGTTTTGTTAAGAAGAAAAGATTATTTATTTTTTCAAATTAATGATAAACGTATTAATCTTTTAAAATCAATTGTGAATAAAAGAAATTGTTTTTTCTGTAAAATGAAATACATATCTTGAGGTGTAAGTCGCGTTGAGAGTTATTTTTTATTACATTTTATTCTAGATAATAGAAATATTTTTAAAAATGAATGTTTCGAACAAAATTATAGAAGATATAAATCATAGAAATAATTTATTCGAACCTGTACGATGACATTGTTTCCAAAATGATTTTTGATTTATCTAGTGTGAGGAAACATTGTCGACAATTTACAAGATTTTCGAGTATTCGAAGAGACATTAAGGAAGAAGGGTCAGCGAATAAAGTTCGAGGTCGAGTAAGTTTCATCGTCAACGGCAAGTTCTCGTTTCAATCGTCTTCCGTGAACAATATTGAAAATCTGTTAAAGCTTGTTCGCCAAGTTCGAGAGGGAAAGTGTTAATGTGTCATTTTACTATCCACATAAGATCTCAAGAAAGTTTCGTGAGAACTTTCGAAGAAAAAAAAAGCATTTGTGAAAAACAAAAATATGTAGATAAAAGAATTTTTCGAACGAGATCATCTTCAAATAAAAAAAAAAAAGAAAAGAAAAATACGAATAGGATAAATGTCTCTAATTTTTCAATATTTTGAATCATAAATTCTTATTTGCGTTATAAAAAAGAATAATCAGAAATTTAATTGAACGCATTAGTAATTTGATCATTGTACTTCCTCGCTATTATCAGAATGACTACTTTCATTACTAACAGCACTTTCCATTATTAATTTTCTACGATCGAATTAACAAACGTAGAAATTCCTAAGCCATTAACACCAACACGTATCGAATTTTAAATTTGATAAGAATCAAGAAAATTAATTGCCCTAATGATACAACTATGATTGAACTTTGACAAACGAAAATAGATTAATTTTGATATATTTGAACGTAGGGAGATTTACCCTCCAAGGAACTTTTGCAAAACTTTTTAAAATCCCAAGTTTCATGTATGCGTGCACATAGATGGAAAGAAGTAAAAGAAAGTTAAAAGAAAAGAAAGAAAGAAAGAAAAAAAAGAAAGACAGGTGATATTCTGTGAGAAGACTTTATAGCAACCAAGAGGCGTAGGTACATAGGTATGTAACGGCATCGTGCCAGTTAGAGTGTGTTTGAGAGAGTTAACTGACCTCGCATAACCCTGAAGGGAGAACGAGCTATTAACGTGGCGTATGCCATTCATTCTTGCCGCGTCCCTCGGTTTTCCCTCTCTTGCTCTTTCTCGCTCTGGTCGGTCTCTTTCTCACACCAATACTCAACCGACCTTTACTTCCCTCGTATTACGAGCGCGCGTACACAAACGTCGAAAACGGCGTGTATCGTACCGCCGGCTAATGGTCTTACGGTGCATAGTTCGAGTCCATTCATAACTCGACGAATGGGAAGAGCCTGTATATATATATATATATATGTATGTATATGCGTGTATTTGTGTGTGCGAGAAAGAGAGAGAGAGAGAGAGAGAGAGAGAGAGAGAGATAGA